GGCTATTTGTAAGGCTACGACGAGTCTCAAACAGCCGTGGAGTTGCTTTTCGAGAATCAGCGCTTTAGTAAACGTGGTCGTGACACCGGAGGGGACACAACAGAGCGGCGCTCGCGGCATTGTTTGTTTCGGCTACTAAACGTCCTCTTCTCTGAGACTGTGTTTGAACGTTTTATCACTTCAGGTGACACAATAACACGACGCGAACTCGAGGCAGGAGGTCGGCGCTTTTGGGAAGAGGTTGCAAAAGCCTTCAATACAAGCAATGGTGATGCTAAGTGTATTATCTCTGATGATACAGTGCTCGATGGCATCGACCCACAATTGATCACAACTCACTCTGGGGCTAAATAAAAGAGTATGTGGAAAGAGTGTAATGCACGGTTCTCAGCGGTCGAAGGAAAGTGCAAATTATCTGGATCACACGACGAATGCTGGAACTTCTGTCAGGGCGATAAAATAGCCATGTACGCTCATCTCTGATGTGAGCAGCGTGGGTGTGGCCGCGAGATTTGGTCATCACGCATTTATGAAGATAACAAAGACGATAAATCAAAAGAGATGCAATTGGCCAACAAGAAACAAAAAGTAAATAGGAAACGCTCCAAAACCCAAGAAGAACGTAGAAACAGTGTCGATGCTGTTGCTATTCTGACCGAAGCTGTTGCAAAATTGGTGGGCACTGACGTTGCAAGTATAAGGGGTGGGTTAATCGAACAGAAAATCGCAGTCGCCCGTCTAAAGTTCGAAAAAATGGAGCGAGATGTCATAGTGAAAAAATTGGCTGCAGTAGATGGTATTCTTGCTCGACGTCGTCAGGCTCTATCCATCCTGGACATGCAGATCTATGATAGATTATCCGAAGGAATGGATGCCACGGACCTTATTGGGAGTGTGAAGTCGCCATTCAACGCGTTCAGACAGCTCAAGCTAAGTCGGACGACCTTCAAGGTCAAATTATGGGCTGCTAAACTATCAGCTGCGGCTCGTACGCAAAGTGATAGACCGGAGCATGGCGTACCGCTGAATATGACGGAAAACAACCTTGCGAAGTATATGGCCGTTCACGACGGGCGGCTCAGAGTCGTTTGTGTCTCCACGTACAGTGGGTAAAAAGCTGCAGTCTTCCATTGCATTGAAATCTCTCATTGCTGCATTGCTCAATCCGCCGCTGTTATGCGTGCATTGATGCAGTAGTCATGCAGCTTCATGCAGGTTTTTTAATGGCAAGCCCTGCATGAATGTAGTCGACACTTGTTGACAAGAAGTTCAAAAGCCAATTCTATTCGTATGTGTAGCTGAGAAAGATAAAAATTGTAATCAGAACATTCTCTTGATTTGATTCCAGGTTTTGTGAATGGCACCAGTAGCGTCGACGACAACGGATATGCGTTATCGCCAATGACATAATATCCAAAAGGTAGACTAGCTATAGCTAGGTGCAAGTGCCACTTCTTTAAGGCAGCACTATCAGATACCAGTCCAGGAGAATTGAAGCAATAACCAGTGAGCATGCATGCTGAATCACACTTCGCCTGGACATTGATCCCGTGGCGGAGATAGTGCCCTGAAAAGAAGGCTGAAACTTCAGGTACTTCTCGAGTGATTGGGGTTTTAATAGTACACAACCATCCGTCCACGCATCCAACACACCCCGTTAGAATATTTTCTTACTGATATCAGCAAACGCTAACGCTGCACGCTGAATGGAAGTAGTGTCATATACAGGGGAAACTATTTGTTATCGCGGATATTGCTTCCATAACTTCGATAATAGTAGCGTAAAACTCGGACTTGCTGACACCTGCAAGAGTCCTTATAGAATGATAAGAGCCTCCTGCCAGCCACGATACTTGGACTTTGTTCATAGCCAATATTAAATCAGCACTAGCTCGATTCTTTGACTTCACTTCGTCACGCTCAAGCACGGGCCGGATAGATTCTACAAGCTCTTCAAACGACACGACATCCGGTCTGTAGTAGCGCTCGAGCTAAACGTGAAACCCGTCTGCAAGTGGTGCAAGCTACATATAAAGATTAACAGTTATTGCACCAGAGGTTACACCACTTCGGCGGGCGACACGGGCCGAGCTGAGATGAAATGCTAAATGTTCACTTTCATATGCATATATTAAATCACGTTTAAAGTAAAACCTTTTTCCGCCGGAGCGAAGCGAAGGCGGGTGCCAATTTCCCCCTGGGGCTAAAACCTGTCACTTCCGCCGCGGAGAGCGGCGAACGACTAGTATCCACACTTACCACAGCCCGTTAAGTTTGGTAGTCTGTAATATCGGCGGCTCGGTGTTTGTGCATGATGCCTCACTAGTGTAGGGACACGTGACATCGACTTCTATCTGGCGTCGCGACGCTTGTTCGGGTTTCGCGGGGCGGACGCAGAGACCCGGTGCTCGGCATGGTATCGGGCTACAAAACTCTCCACCGTCATATGGGTCAGACGGGCGTAATGACCTACTTCGACGGCCAGTTGGCGAGTGGCTGCGGTCTGGGGATACCTGGGCCGTCCTTGATAAGACCACCTGAACAGACGAAGGACAAAGAATAATGGCTTTCTTCCAATTTTCTTTATATGTATAGAAATGCTCATGGTAATAACTTGGAACCCTCCCTG